TTTTAATTTTAAGTAGTAATTAGAAAAAGTTACAATCAATTAAAAATAAATTTTCAAACTTAGAATTAGTACCGATGACGTGCTAATAGTTGCCAAAAAATGCCGAGCGCTTGTAATGTCATAATATTTGTGTAGTTTCTCAAAGAAAAAAGAAAGAAACATTTAAAGAAACACAAAAAAGATTTTTATCATAATCTGAATGAGTTATATGTACCTTCAGAGAATGATGTATATGGTACTATGAGTTCGAACAACTCACCATTGCACATAACAATGACAAAAGTAATGAAAGTTAAAAATTATCTTATAAATAAAGATGTAACTTTTTGAAGTGAAAACTTCTTTAGAATGGGAGTGATCTGAAAAGTAAATAAACGGAAACGCAGCTATGTAACGGCTGCTATACTGAATAACGAGAGAGAAAGAGACAAACATATAGGATTGAGCCTGCGAAAGAGAGACGGAATATGGCTATACAGTTTTTCCTATTCTCGGTCTCCTCTTTAAGCTATGCTTCGTAGTTATCACTCCTGGTTGTATATGTGTGTGTTTGTTTGCGACTGCATACTACAAAGCGTGGACACGTATTATTTCGATACTCGAAATGTTTGTAGGTAGGAGCGATAGAAGGGTAGAAGGAATAAGCAGAGATAAGCGCGTAGGTATGCGACAAAAGTATAAGGTCCAAACGAACCGACGGTCGAAATAAAGAAAGAAGTGCATGGTCTGTTTTTATTTTACCAAATGTGTTATGTCTTTTCTATTTAAAAATGTTTCTATTTTATTGAAAAATAAATATTAAATTATTATTTATTTCGCAAATATTATAATTAACAATTATGAAATATATAGAAAATAATAATTGTATTGTCTGCAATATTTTACAAAAAAATGAAATGATTATCAAATAAATAAGAGAAAAAAAATTAAACAACATTGTAGAATATTTTTCTTATAAATATTCAAAGACATGTTTTTTAATTATCATGTTTGCGTATTTAGAAAATTTATACTAATTTTCCAATAAAATAGAAAAGTTTTTAAATAGAAGAAACTAGACACGTGACAAAAACAAATAAACCTTATTTACTTTATATTTCCAATAAGAATAAAATAATATAACTTATTTTACAAATATAGAAAAAAAAATATAGAAAATAAATTTTTAAAAGAATTTTTAATATTATAAAATAAAACAACGAAAATAGAAATAGATTTTAAAATCGTTGTAACTCAAAACCCGATGAAACGAAAAATATCCTACCACAATTGTTCCCTTCTTTAACAGCATCTACAGTTATTAGTTGCAACACAAAAAGAAATACTTGTGTATGCTAACCCATGATAAAGATATCTCACATTCACAGAAAGTGTGAAAAGTGTAAGAGGAAAAAAATTAATCTACCTGAGTTTCAAAAAAATATATATTATATTTACTTGGATTAGGACGGCGTATCTTTTTGTCGACAAATATTCTACAATTTTCGTCTCTATCTATGGCTATCGCATTCAGCATTCCATCTTGATGGATAGAATTTTGAAAATATTAGTTTTTGTCAGCTACCTACACCCTAAGGTCGGTTCCTTATCATGAGAAAAGAATTATAAAAAACAGGGAAGGTCTGTTGAAATTCGATCTACATTTATTATCTTTATTATTGATGCGATAATATTCATGCCTATAGTTTTTTTTAACAAAACATGTCATATCTTTTCTATTTAAAAATGTTTCTATTTTATTGAAAAAATAGTATTAAATTCTTTATTTCGCAAATATTATAATAAATAATTATGAAGTACATAGAATAAAAACATTAAAAAAAAAAAAAAAAAAAAACAAAAAACGTCTGAAATATTTAAAAAAAAAAAAGATTACCAGATACATCAGAGAAAAAAAAATTAGAGAATACTGTGGAATAAATTAGGAGCAACTGACAAATTCCGTTCAAAAGCAAGTAAATTACTGTTATATTTTTATTTTACTTCTTCATAAAATATATTTGATGAATAAAGACAAAATATATCTATTAAATTTGATTTTTATATGTTTTTATGAAAAATATCCAAAAAGATGTACTGACCCATGCATATATGAAAATTATATTATAAATTGCGATATTTGCGTATTTAAGAAACTTATACAAATTTGTCAATAAAATAAAAACGTTTTTAAGATGTTGAACGCCCAGCGTGAATCGGTGGAGCTTACCACGGAGCTGAAATCTGAGACTCGTAGTGTACACAGTTCGATAAGATGAGAGAGCCATACGGTTCAATGCATTTTTTAGATTTTTCGTTGTTCAGATCTTTATTTAGACGAGAGTATTTAGAAAGATAAGTTTGTGGTCCAAAGAATAAGGACGAGATATTTTATAAATAATAAGGGTCTCGAAGTGTGCTACAGAGTTGATAAATCATTTCTAGAGAATATCTTGATTAGATCTTTCATTGCATTTTACCAGAACCTTCGTTCAGTCCAGCAGTATTTTCCATATGTTTTTCGTAACGTCTTTATTTCATCTATCCTAAAATGTTTGTTATATAGTGCAAGAATGTAGATGAAAACGGGAAATAGAAAGCTATACTAGCAAAAAAAATTTTATACCTGAGTTTCAAAAAAAGGATTATTTATATTTACTTAATTTCTGACGAATTATATTTCCCTTGATAAACATCCTTACGATTTTGGTGTCTATTTATAACTATCGCATTCAGCATTCCGTTTTTATTGCTTGAATTGTGAAAAGTGCACTTTTTATCAGCTATTCCACCCAGAGACCATACCGGTGACCTTTCTTATATATAGTAATAATATTATAATAAATAAATCCTAAAATTATCTTACTCTTAAAACTATCCATTCGTCTCATTCTCTCGAAACGTAGATTTTTAAAGATTTTTTTTTTTTAATACAGACATTAAATATAATAAAATAATCTTTATTCTACATATATACATAGTACTTTTATGAATAATTTACAATATTAAAAATTAGAAAAAAAAAACAATAAATTACGAAGATATAAGTTGATATGTTGAGACCTTTTTTGCTGATAGTGGGCATGATTTCGGTTTAACAGACGTTCTGAAAAAAAATCATGATTATTTAATAATAAAAAAAAGTAATGGTCAAGATGTAATCGGGGGAAAAAAAAGGTTTTTTATATAAATAAAAGCTATTTTTAAAAAAACTTAAAATTTTTCTTGAAATTTTGTGTTTCAAAAATTAATAACTTTTGAACAAGAAACAAAATAAAAAAACGGTCCAATGAATACTTAGACAATCTTATGAAGTGTAACTGCAAATTTAAAACAAATTGATTGAGTAAATCTTGAGATATCGTGTACATCGTTTTGAAAAAAGTGGTTTCAAGAAAAACGCAAAAAAAACAGAAGTACGACGTAAGCATCTTTAAATCACTATTTTTTTTAAATTACCTTTAATTTGCGATACCTGGTCCGTACATGAGGTCTTCTATTATTGTTGTGATGTCCTCTGATTTCTTTTGTACTGCTCTTTTTAATTTTTTGRCCTCTTTAGTCTCTTGTTACGCTCGTATGTCRGCTATGGATATTCGTTGAGAATTCAATTTTTCAACTAATTGCAGTACATTTAGGCCCATTTCAAGTTTTAATAATTGCATAATATATAATACACTAGTATAATGTATTTTTTATAGTGTATAGATGCAATTTCAACAATTTTTGCCCCATTGTATGYACTTTTTGAGCTATAGACCAAATTACAGAGATCAGACTTTTATTGATATTTTGGGTATATCCTTCCACAAACAACATTCTAATAAATTAGTATTAACTTTTTTTTAATTACTTTTTGGACAATTAAAGGAATTAAATTTTCATGTTTATAATAATCCAAAGTTTTATATACTTTTATTTTTTGATACGAACACCAGATATCATCGCTTGATGGGCACTTGTCATGTTGTGAATTTTCATCAGTAGATATTTTATTGTAATAAGTTGTCTATATCGCATCTTTCATGGTTTCAACTGATGTATTTATACTCCTTTTAATTACAAAACCATAGTAAACTGTTAATTCTTAATAATCTTGGCTGCTAACTTTCCTCTACCACCTATATCAGCATTATCTTTTTTTACGTAATTATGATTACGTACCCATTTCCTCTTGTACGCCTCGCACAATAAATTCTCAAACACACACTCATATTAAGATCACCAAAAGCGACAAAGGTGCTACATTTAGATTCCCTACCGTCTTTTCTCGCTATGCACTCCCAACTGGAACTCTTACGATTGAATAGGTAAACTTAAAATTGTTATAACTTCGGTAATACTTTGAATTTTTTTTATGATTAAAAGCTTAAGATATTCTTAAAAGATTAAACAATTTTTTTAAGCCAAATAAAATCGATTTTTTGAAAATTTCAGGGTGGTATATAACCCGTTAATACATTTATTAAAAACAGTCATTTTTATGCTATATTGTAATAAAATTTAAAAAGTTCTACCTATACCATTTAGAAGCTCATACAATCGTGTTCATGCAATCATTGATGCATTTGAAATACAAATTGAGAAAACGAGTGATTTAGAGTATTAATCTTTTGACTTCTATGGGCGCACATATGCGTCCAGCAAAAATCATCGGTGGTGCCTTTTTGGCGTCCGACGCAAGCTGTAAATATCGACTATGGACTCAAATGCTCGCAACTTATTAAGCACACAATAACTAATTATGAAATTTAATAATAACATTTTATTAAATTAATCCATGTTTTATATATAAATTTAATTTAAAGTAATATAATTCTTATATTTATAACGATACAACCATTTTAGTTATTTTCCTATAGTCTTGTATTTTAAGGATTTTCTTGTGTTTCTTGATTTCATCTCGGATTCCTTTACCAAATAAGTTGTGCATAACTTTATTATTGGAAAATACGTGCCTGTACCCACACCACAATAACAAAAATATTTTATTCTTTACTTCTTTCGCATTAAAATTAATTTTATTTGCTATATCTGTAAAACATCAAATTATGCAAGGAATAAATTAAAAATATCTATATTTTTATATTGTGATATTTATAATTGAATTCTTGCAACTCACCTTCTATATAATACTTTAGAAAAATTAATACAATTTTCTCATTACTTTCTTTAATAATAAGAAAAATTTCTTGATAATCTCTGTATAATGTACGTAAATTTCCAAATAGTTTAAGAATATAAGTAAAAGCTCGCCATGCTTGCATATTAGATATTTTTCGTACAAAATGTATCAAACGACGTACACAAGTACTTGGATTGTGTAATATCATTTTTGATAATCTAAGATACGAGCAATTAATAATTCTCTCTTTAAACATTCTATAAAAAAAAATAATTGATTAAAAAACTCTGTATATATATGTAATAATCTTTAGGTACGTTTTAAAAATTAATAAATAAGAGCCTTACAAAATGGCACTTTTGCCTATTTTATTTCTCATAACAAGTGAAAACAAATAAGAAGGATGAGCATCTCTGAAACATGGTAAGGATTCTAAGCTATTACAATTTATACTGTATCCTAAAAATTTTATTTCGTTCGTATTAGGAACGTTTTGATTAGGCAAATTAGTCTGTATTTTAGATCGTTTGAAGCTACAATTATATTCGGGAAATCCTTCACTTATTATTCTCAAAAACCTATAAAAAAGAAAAAATTAAAATATGTATATATATATAACACTATTAAGATTATTATTAATTAAATTAAATTTATTTTACTTTTCAGCAGACTCTCTGTTTTCACTTAGGTAGAATGTATCATCCACATATCGAAATAAGAATCCGGAATTCATAAATTCAGACAATTTCTGATGATATATATAATTATAATATATATTAGAAAATATATTTGAAAGAATGGTACCCTGTAGAATACCTTTAGCTACAAAATATTCTTTTTGCTTTATTGTTACCTATGAAAAGAAATTATAATTAGTTGTAGTATTACTTATCAATGTAGACAAATTTGTTAGTACACACTTTCTGGCCAAATATGCACTTCTTAATATCATTCAACAGTTCCTTCTTTTTTAAATAGGTAGGATTATTACCAATCTTGTTTATATTTGGAAGAGTAAAAATTGTTCCAACTGGTAATGCTTGAGGTAACGCAGCAAAATATTGTTCATACGTTACATCTCCAGTCTTGCTTTTAACAGGCACACATGCCACCCATTTAAGAATCAGTACATCAGGAAGATCTTTGCACAATATCTTAATTATATTATTCAATTTATCTGAAAAATGGATTAAAAATTAAATTTAGATTAGACAATCATATGTGTAGGGTATGAAATATAGTGATTAATACGGGCATTATGAATAGCGACGAACAAAATTAGATAATAATAAATTATAGTGTTAAAATTGTGTTTTTATAAGCGGTTATCTATAACAAATTTGTTATTACTTGATTTATTAGTCCATAATATAAATAGCAGATATATAATTATAATTTTACCTAATCTTATGGAACCGAAAGCATCACTTATGTCACAAGATACTATCCAGGTTTGTTTTCCCTTACTGGTACAATTATTTCTTACTCGAGAAATAGCTTTAAATTTATTATGGAATTCTCCCATTGTTGCAATTCCATATTCCTTGACGCACAACTGCTTCAAGAATTTCAACAGCATCTTCATACGTGTTTTTTCTTCCGCATTATAACTGTGAATAAGAATGATACGTAAGGATACGAAATATGAAAAACGCAAAAAACAAAATAACTAAAAACAAAAATAAGGAAAATAAATAATGTAATACCTAGTTTTTGCTATTGGCCTTATACCAGAACATTTTAAATAAATTTTGAACTCGCATTTCGGAGAAATGAAATTGTTCTCAAATGCATCAATAAAAACGTGACTACGGATTTTGTCTTTAACAAAATTTTTTTTTATTACTTTCCATTTCCCACTTTTTATGAACAATCTTTTACCAATAGCTGCAGGATGTACTGTCCAAAAGAAAAGTTTATTAATAATGTAATAAAGATATTTGGTAATGAACCAAACAATTAGTTTACTAATGACGACCCATTTGATGGATTCCTCTTTAAAAAATTCTAACCATTCAATTTTCTCAATCTGAAACATAAAATATATAAAATATGAGTATTTGTACATGGATGAATCAACAATTAAACATGATTAAAAGAACGAAAAGAAATCTTACATTTAACCTACTAATATATTTTTTTAAATATATTGGCTGAAATCTTGCACTATTAAGAATTTCATAAACCAACTTGATAATAATTCTCAGGTTTGTAATGGAACCAAATAGTTTAAATGGCACTACATTTCTTAACACATGATACAAAAAATTAGTAATTTTTTTAACGTCTATTTCAATGTCTTCAATTTTATTGCTTGATTGTTTTGGATCGTCCCTAAATTCACTTGTACTATTTTTATTTAGAAATTTATTTAACTGTTTCCTATATAAGAAACTTTTATGATTTTTTTGAAATTGTTTTAAAATAGGAATTAAATGATCCGCAAACTTCGGATTGATTTTGATTGTATCAGATTTATTCACTCTAGTCTTTGTCACGTTATCATATATTTCCCCAACAGATAGGGCTTTATCGAGAATACAATTACACGAGATACGTTTAAGCGATATGTAATTGGATTTTTCTTTTAACATCACTTTTACATTAACATTTATAAGATATGGATTAACTTCTTCGTATAGTTTTTGCTCAAGAGGTAAAACTTGTACTGGAAAAAAAAAAAAAAACATAAAAGCAATAATTACACTGTACTAAAAGTAAAAATTTAATGACGCCGAAATTTACTCTCCCTCGGTACTTACCTTTCGGTGGCAATTTTGGAATACCGCAACAAATTGCATAATAATTAGAAAATAAGGGTTCTTCTATTATACTTTTTATAATTTTTGAACATTCCATAACATCCATACATTCATCCAATTGAATTGCACCACATTTTACTTTCGTAAGTTTCAACTTCTTTCTTCTACAATATCTGATTTGGAAGTAAAGCTGTGTTATTACAAAACTTAATAACATATATACTTAATTATTAAATAAATATACTATTAAACTAACTCTGCTACTGATTCATTATAGAACTTTCTTAATTCTTGTAAAGTACCTTCCATCCTTCTGAAAAAATAAAAAATAATTTAGAACATAAGAACAGTAAATTAAGATATATGATTCAAAAACTTACGGAAAAAGCGAGAAAAAAAACGAAAACTGTAAACTATGATAATATTTATTTGCATTATTCACATAGGTTGAATTTTTCTAGATATAAGTGCAATACATTCTCACAGGGAATCCCAACAGTGAGAAGTAGTGGTAATGTAGGAGATGTTATAAATAGAAAAAAAAAAAAAATGAAGTGAATGGTAATAAATCGTAAATTGCTGATCGGCATCCGTATCGAATTAAAAGGCACTACTAGTGTGACCGCTTGAAAAAAGGTGATTTTTCGGAATTTAAAAAAAAAATCGTAATCCATTGTTTCAGGCCAAATATGAATATCATCACGAATCTTACTCGTGCTCTTAATCTCGGGCAGGATATAAATGCTAAATGAGATCTTATCCCTTCTCTTTTCTTCTTTATATGTAGGGGTATTTTATATTTTGTTTCCTAATGTAGTTAACGAGCTACTTAGAATACATTCTTGTAGTCCAGGTAATATTTAAAAACTAATGTTTCGACACTCGGGCTACGCCGCTTCGTTTCTTTTCGCAACAATTCGAGTGCATGGGTTAGCCACAGCTTGTTCCAAATTTTGAGCATAGTGCAAAAGGTTAAAAATAAAAAATATAATGAACAAAATAATAGCTCTCGGAAATCGTTTTCGAAAAAATTCATGGTATCGAATGGGTTAACAAAAGCGGTAGTAAGTAATGTTGAGTCGGTTGTAATTGGCTGAATATATGAGCTAACAACTGCAAAATTGGGTGACGCTACTAAATCCTTCAGGATTAACAGTCAACACCTATTGGCTTATGTACCTTGATTGTCAATTTTGAAACGCTAGACACCTTCATGTACAAAATGAATATTTTTCAGAATAATTGAGCACTACTGTTAGAGAAACTACTAAATGGTTAAGCACCCGTGATCTTTCCAAATCCGCGAAAAGAATTCAAACACGTCGCATTATCAATAACAATGTACACGCGTAGAAGTCGAACTTTACCTCGCGGAGAAAGAAGGACAACAATAACTGCGACGCAAAAAGAGAATAAAAGATGAGGAAAAAAACCTGTGAGATGTTTGAAATAAGACTTTTACAAATGAATAGACATTATTTTTACTGGTTTTCACAATTACTCGCAAACTTCTCCATCCGACTTGGCCTAAAGAATCAAACGTTGGCGAATCCTAACGATGAGAAATGGTAATGAAAATGATACAATTATAATACAAAAAAAATTAAAAGAAATGAGAAGAATGGATATAAGTCGTAAATTTTTTTCTGTAAAAACCAGAATGAATTCACAAATTTATACCATCTATGAGAGGAGAATCGTCGATTCATTCTCACCGGACGTGAATAGTAAATGTAATTATAATTGCTTACCTAAACTCGAATTGATCTCTCGAACTGACAATGAATGGTTAATGTATTTGCAAGTTCGAGCTGCTGATCGGCACCCAGTAGAATCAAGATTTTGATCGAATGTAAACATGTACAAGCCAAAACAATGTAGATCGAATTCCAAAATAAACAAACTATAATACGCGACAATCTAAAATGGTAAAAGCCGTTTGAGTAAAGTCACGAAGAAAATTATTTCTTAAAAGCACGTGTTCACATAGACGCTTTGCGAAATGAATTGAAAGTAATAATCCCTGGAAAAAGGAGGAAAAAAGAAGCGCACGAGTTGTCACAGCGCATGCGCGAGCCAGTCTCGATTGTTTTCCCCTAACGAGTTGTATCGATAGATGCTATCACCTAAAATTAAAAGTCGCGTATAAAAGAATTGATATAAACGCTTTTTGTTTCTTTAAAAAATTCCTTATCATTTTTTCGTCCTGTTATTCTCTTCGTTGACTTTCTTTCGCTGTCCTAACTCTATCTTTCTACTATCTTATTTTTTCTCCATATCCCTTCTTCATACCTTTTAATCCTTTGCACTCGGTTGTCCCCTCTGAGAGGACAATAATTCCTTTTTTTTGCTTTGAAAAAAAATATTTTTATTTCAATCACTTTTTAACATACATTACAAAAGTAAAAAACATCTTACAAAAAACTTTAACCCTTTCGATACAGGCGTATTTTCTGCTGTGCTACTTCTACTGTAAGGGCTGCTAATAGGTGCAGCATAGAAATTGCACTTTATTTTTGAGTAATTTTGTTGCTGATATTAATGATTTAAAAAAAAAAAACACTAAAATTACACGTCCTGAATGGGATATTCGATGTGCTATAATTGTATATGTTTGTCGTATGTAAAATACGCAGTATTTTATGGAGGGCCACTATATATAGTGGTCCGTAGTAGCGAAAAGCCGGCAAACCTTATTTGCGGCCAGATTTAATTAGGCTATCGTATATCATAATAAACAGAAAAAAATTAGCTTTAATTTGATATATAAATAATAAATGTTTATTATGAGGGTATAAATATATTAAAATCATACCTGTTTACACCTGACTGCGAAGAGGTGCAGTCAAGTGCGCAACGGCAATCGTGATTTTTCAAAGTCTTTACATATATTGCCGTGAAGTGAATGATATTTTATTTAAAAACCAAGTGAGTGAATTTTTTCCCCAAAATTAATTAACAATAATTTAATTAAAAATATTAGCGGTCACATTTTGATAGAAAATCTGGTAGATATATATTCTCCTAATCATAAATATACGTAAAAATTAGGTTTTTAGCAAAAATTCGATAGGTACACTAAACTTGCAGCTGGATCTCGGACTATTTGTGGTTTAAAGAATAAAGAAAAAAAAGATATGTTATAAATAATAAGTGTTTTGAAGTGTGACAGGCTACAGAATTGAAAAAACATTTCTAGAGAATATCTCTATCGATCTCTCATTGCATTTTACCAGAACCTTTGTTCAGTCCAGCAGTATTTTCCATATGTTTGTCGTAACATCTTTATTTCGTCATTCCTAAAATGTTTGTTATACAGCGCAAGAATGTAGATGAAAACGGGAAATTGAAAACCATATTAACAAAAAAAATTTTATACCTGAGTTTCAAAAAAAGGATTATTCGTATTTACTTAGTTTCCGACGAATTATATTTCCTTTGATAAACATCCTACAATTTTGATGTCTATCTATAACTATTTCATTCAGCATTCCATTTTTATTGCTTGAATTTGGAAAAGTGTACTTTTTATCAGCTATTCCACCCAGAGACCATGCCGGTTACTTTGCTATATATGGTAATAATATTATAATAAATAAATCCTACAATTATCTTATTCTTGAAACTGTGCATCCGTTAGATTCTTTCGAAACTTAGTTTTTTGAAAGTTTCACTTCTAACACGTGTGATCTGCACACATGATTTATTTTTCTTAAATAAACAACCTAATTTTTATCAAAAATATAAATGTATAAACAACAAAAACAAAAAATTTTATCCTTATTTAATGCAACTTTAATTTAATTTTTTAGTTTTTATTTTAAAGTTTTTAAATAGAAGAAACTGGACACGTGACACAAACAAATAAACCTTATTTGCTATTATATTCATAGTAAAAATACAATGATATAACTTATTGTAAAAATATAGAAAAAAAATATGTTAATAGATTCTAAAAATTATAAAATAAAACAACGGAAATAAAAAATAGAATTTTTAGTCATCGTAATTTAAAACACGATGAAACGAAAAAATACGACCAAAATTGTTCTGTTCTTTTTCAAGCATCTAAAGGAATTAGCAGCAACAAACAAAATACTTTTATGTGCTAGCCCATAAAGATATCTCTAATTCACAGAAAGACTATCATCTACCTGAGTTACAGAAAAGAATATATTATATTTACTTAGGTTAGGACAGGGTATCTTTACACTGACAAACATTCTACCATTTGTGTTTTTATTTATTGCTATCATATTCGACATTTCATCTTGATGGATAGAATTTTGAAAATGTTAGTTTTTGTAAGCTACCTACATCCCAAGGTCGGTTCCTTTTCATAGGAACAGAATTATAAAAAACAGGGAAGATCTGTTGAAATTTGTTCTATATTCATAATCTTTTTTATCGATGCGATAATATTAATGTCTATAGTTTTGTAAAGAATATGGACGTGTTTTTATCGCTCCTCCCCACTTCTCAAATTCTTTTGTTAAGGATACCTTACTCTGTTCATTAAAAAATTACAAAATACGTCAGAGAAAAAAAATTAGACAACACTGTAGAATACATTAGAAGCAGATGACAAATGAATTATATTTCCTTCAATAAACATCCTACGATTTTGGTGTCTATCTATGACTATCGCATTCAATATTCCATTTTTATTGCTTGTATTTGGAAAAGTGTAGTTTTTATCGTCTATTCTATCCACTAATCATACCGGTGTCTTTTGTTATATATGGTAATAATTTTAAAATAAATAAATACTACAATTATCTTACTGTTGATACTGTGCATTCGTCTTATTCTCTCAAAACTTAATTTTTTGAAGGTTTCACTTCTAATACTTGTGATCTGCACACATGATTTTTTTTTTATTCTCCGGTACGCTTTTAACTCTTTGACATTCTCTATAATAATATTAACATTAATGTTTATCAACACTAGTTGATATAAGGATATTCGGTCAGAAGAACGCCAATAAAATTATTTTGAATTGTCTGTGGAGATAGGTAATATGCAGGGAAACACTTTTATAGACAGCAAGAAATAAGTTTTATTTATTCAAGAGGTAATATTAGATTATATAAATTTAGAGAAAGGTAGGTGAAATACACGAGACATTTCGTTCGATACCGTTCTTCTCGTCTTCTCCCTGTAAAAGTCTCTTATCCGTTGTTGTTTTATTCTCGTCTATTCAAGCAGGCTTTAAAGCGTTCGTAAACACGTTAACTCTCATAGTGATAACTTGAAAGTATTTATTTAGACTACAAATACTAAACCCTATCATCTATCCTACCGTTAACAAAA